GCCAGGCGCCTGCCATAAAAAGCCAGGATGGGTTCGGGGCCCGAGTCTGGCACCCGGTGGCTGGTGGTGGCCGCCTTGAGTGGGGCCAGCATGTCAGAGACCACATCAACAGGGGTTTCACCCCACAGCCCCCGCCCTGCCTCCTGCAGACTCAGGTCATCCAACTGGTCAATGGCCCTTTGCATGCCTGGTGCTTTCTCTCTGAAGAAGGGCCCGCTCCCTGCCACACTGCCCATGGCCTCCTCCTCCTCAGCCAGACGGTAGTAGGGGTGCCCATCTTCTGTGGCTGGCCCCACACAGGTGGCTTGCCCTCCACCTGCAGGGAGAGGCGGCAGCTGCGCAGGGAAAGCTGGTAGTAGCGGGTGGTCTCGTGGGTGCTACGCAGCTGCTGCATGGAAACAAAGGGGTGGCGCAGGGCTGCGCTGGGGCTGATGCGTTCGTGTGACTCCCACGTCAGCATGCGCTTGATCAGCTCTACCATGCTCTTGAGGTCAGCGTGCTCGGCCAGTGCTTCACGGTCCGGGAAGGTCAGCCGGCTGGCTGCCACGCCGCCATTCACTGTCTCAATTTGGTCCAAAGACTTGAGCATGTACTTGCGGCGCTCCAGTGGGCGCACCTGGTGGGACACAGGGCACATGGGACGCATGTCCAGGATTAGATCCACAGGCACTCCTGCTGCAGGACCCGCATGTGGCCCCTGACTTCCAGTTCTGCCCCTGATCTGATGCAGAACTCTCTTGCTGGGAGGGCCACACCTGATCCCTCACACCAGACCCCTTCTAGTCTTATTCAGAGCCCTCATCCTCATGCTACTACAGGAAGAACACTTGCCTATGCTTTTATAAAAAATAATAATAATAATAATAATTTTATTTATTCATTCATTCCTTTTAATTTGACCACAGAGAGAAAGAGAGAAAGTGAGAAAGCAAGCCACCAGGTCTGGGACTCGAACCACAGCTGACCATGTAGGAGTGTCCAGCACCTTAACTATCAAGCCTCCCACTATGCTTTTTGGTCCCCTTGTTGTCTCACCAGGCTCCTCACCGACCCAAGTTCAAACCTTGCCTCAGACCTTCAGTTCTCCCAGAGCCATGGTTCTAGCTCTCAGTAGAAAGGCTACCCTAAACCTCTGGTTCTTCCTGATATCAAATCCAGTTTCCACTTGCAAATCGAGCCTCCACACTTGATCCCAGCCCTCCAGACCCCCCTGGTTTGAACCCTAACCCTTTCACTCTGCTAGTTTGACAACCCTCAGCCATGGAACTATCAGAGGAGCTGTTGAGAACTTTGAGTGCCACATTTGGTCTCACTGAAGCTCCCATAACTGGCCCCAAACTCCTAGTCCCCCTCTGCCGTCTACTCCAGATTTATTTATTTTTATTTTATTTTATTTTTTTGTACAGGGTGCATGTACTTGCCAGAAAGACAGAGAGGGACAGAGAGACAGAAAGCAAGAAATCACCCCCCAGAGTAGGTGGTCACACCACAATCCCTTCTCCATTCTCTTGGGACCTCAGGCACGCACACACACGCCCGATGTGAGTTTAAGCCTCCAGGTCTGGGACTTGAACTATGGTCAGCTACATGGGAGTGCAGTGATATAACCATTAAGCCATCTGCTTGTCCCTGTACTCCAGATTCTTGGCACAGAGGTTTGATGACCACAGCCACAGAGGTGGTAGATGGGCTCCCCTAAACTTCTAGTCTCACTCGGAGTCTCATCCAGATCCCTCTTTCATTTTCATGTTTTTATTTTAAGAGGTCAGAAGGTGCATGTACTGGCCAGGGAGAGGCAGAGAGAGGAGAAGGAGAAGATACTTCCCACTGGGGTGTGGTCACACCACAATCCCATCTCCATTTCATCCTGTCGGGATTGGGGGCATGCATGCACAGGTGCCTGGTTTGTTTTTCAAATCATAGTCAGTCATGTAAAATCTGGCTTCCCTTAACCACTAGGCTTCTGGGCTGGCCCTGTATCCCATTTTCTATCCCAACTCTCACACCCAAGCCCAGACCTCATGTTTTCTGGTGCCTACCCCAAGTCCCTCATACTGCACAAGTTGCTGCCCCCAGAGCTGAAGCTGGCAGAGGAATGCATTCATTCTTCTGTCACTCATGTACAACCCAGGTCCTTCTTGCTTCAGCAGCTCCTACTTCCGATCTCCAAACTTCCACTCCTCCCTGCAGTCCCACTCAGAGCTGTCTTGCTGCTGCAGCCCCCCAGAGCTGACCCTCAAACTTCCAGTTCCACCTTTGGTTTCACCCAGATCTTTCTTGCTGTACCCACAGATGCCACTGAATGTCCAGTCCTCCCTGAGGTCTCACTTAGATAAGTTCTTGGTGTAGCAGGCTCCCCCCGCCCCGGCATATTGACTGCCCTCACCCCACCAGCCCTTTACCTTGGTCTCGGCTAGGTAGTCGGCTGAGGACTTGAGCTGCCAGGGATTGGTGGCATCAGGGTGGGGGTTGCGCTTGAAGAAGTTGTGAGTCTTGCGGGCGTTGTGCAGCAGGTGGGGTTTGGGCAGGCCCTGGGTCTCACAGATATAGCGCACTTGGTCATACTCATTGTTGCCTGGGTAGAGGGGCCAGCCCAGGTGCAGCTCAGCCATGACACAGCCGAGGGACCACACATCCACCTTCTCACAGAAAGGCAGCCCCAGCAGAATCTCGGGGGCCCGGTAGAAGCGTGACTGGATATAGGGCTCCTTCACATAGCGCACCTCACTGAAGATGCTGGCTGAGCCGAAGTCAATCACCTGTGTGGATGCGGAAGAGGGGCACAGGGTCAGGTTGAATGACCGAGAAAGCTAATATGGGCCTCCCCCATGTCTCTCTACTACAGGAAGAACACTTGCCTATGCTTTTATAAAAAATAATAATAATAATAATAATTTTATTTATTCATTCATTCCTTTTAATTTGACCACAGAGAGAAAGAGAGAAAGTGAGAAAGCAAGCCACCAGGTCTGGGACTCGAACCACAGCTGACCATGTAGGAGTGTCCAGCACCTTAACTATCAAGCCTCCCACTATGCTTTTTGGTCCCCTTGTTGTCTCACCAGGCTCCTCACCGACCCAAGTTCAAACCTTGCCTCAGACCTTCAGTTCTCCCAGAGCCATGGTTCTAGCTCTCAGTAGAAAGGCTACCCTAAACCTCTGGTTCTTCCTGATATCAAATCCAGTTTCCACTTGCAAATCGAGCCTCCACACTTGATCCCAGCCCTCCAGACCCCCCTGGTTTGAACCCTAACCCTTTCACTCTGCTAGTTTGACAACCCTCAGCCATGGAACTATCAGAGGAGCTGTTGAGAACTTTGAGTGCCACATTTGGTCTCACTGAAGCTCCCATAACTGGCCCCAAACTCCTAGTCCCCCTCTGCCGTCTACTCCAGATTTATTTATTTTTATTTTATTTTATTTTTTTGTACAGGGTGCATGTACTTGCCAGAAAGACAGAGAGGGACAGAGAGACAGAAAGCAAGAAATCACCCCCCAGAGTAGGTGGTCACACCACAATCCCTTCTCCATTCTCTTGGGACCTCAGGCACGCACACACACGCCCGATGTGAGTTTAAGCCTCCAGGTCTGGGACTTGAACTATGGTCAGCTACATGGGAGTGCAGTGATATAACCATTAAGCCATCTGCTTGTCCCTGTACTCCAGATTCTTGGCACAGAGGTTTGATGACCACAGCCACAGAGGTGGTAGATGGGCTCCCCTAAACTTCTAGTCTCACTCGGAGTCTCATCCAGATCCCTCTTTCATTTTCATGTTTTTATTTTAAGAGGTCAGAAGGTGCATGTACTGGCCAGGGAGAGGCAGAGAGAGGAGAAGGAGAAGATACTTCCCACTGGGGTGTGGTCACACCACAATCCCATCTCCATTTCATCCTGTCGGGATTGGGGGCATGCATGCACAGGTGCCTGGTTTGTTTTTCAAATCATAGTCAGTCATGTAAAATCTGGCTTCCCTTAACCACTAGGCTTCTGGGCTGGCCCTGTATCCCATTTTCTATCCCAACTCTCACACCCAAGCCCAGACCTCATGTTTTCTGGTGCCTACCCCAAGTCCCTCATACTGCACAAGTTGCTGCCCCCAGAGCTGAAGCTGGCAGAGGAATGCATTCATTCTTCTGTCACTCATGTACAACCCAGGTCCTTCTTGCTTCAGCAGCTCCTACTTCCGATCTCCAAACTTCCACTCCTCCCTGCAGTCCCACTCAGAGCTGTCTTGCTGCTGCAGCCCCCCAGAGCTGACCCTCAAACTTCCAGTTCCACCTTTGGTTTCACCCAGATCTTTCTTGCTGTACCCACAGATGCCACTGAATGTCCAGTCCTCCCTGAGGTCTCACTTAGATAAGTTCTTGGTGTAGCAGGCTCCCCCCGCCCCGGCATATTGACTGCCCTCACCCCACCAGCCCTTTACCTTGGTCTCGGCTAGGTAGTCGGCTGAGGACTTGAGCTGCCAGGGATTGGTGGCATCAGGGTGGGGGTTGCGCTTGAAGAAGTTGTGAGTCTTGCGGGCGTTGTGCAGCAGGTGGGGTTTGGGCAGGCCCTGGGTCTCACAGATATAGCGCACTTGGTCATACTCATTGTTGCCTGGGTAGAGGGGCCAGCCCAGGTGCAGCTCAGCCATGACACAGCCGAGGGACCACACATCCACCTTCTCACAGAAAGGCAGCCCCAGCAGAATCTCGGGGGCCCGGTAGAAGCGTGACTGGATATAGGGCTCCTTCACATAGCGCACCTCACTGAAGATGCTGGCTGAGCCGAAGTCAATCACCTGTGTGGATGCGGAAGAGGGGCACAGGGTCAGGTTGAATGACCGAGAAAGCTAATATGGGCCTCCCCCATGTCTCTAGCCTGGTATCTTTCTTTATCTGTCATTTGACTCTGTCTCTGTGTCACTGAGTCTTTATCTCTTGTCGATGTCTCTCTTCTAGCCTTTGTCTCTGGTTTGTGTGTCTGGATTTTTCTGTCTCCTTCTCTATGAGGCTTAAGACCTCTCTATTTTTTTTTTTTCATTTTTAAAGTTTATTTTGTAAGTGAGCGAGAGACAGCTCCCCAACAGGGTCTTGACCTCTGCAATTCACTCTAGTTTTAGAGCCAGCTCTGGTTTATGAGCATATACCCAGAATACTCAGGGAAGTCTCCAGACTTGAACTTGGAGCCCTCCATGTGGGATTCCCTCACAAGCATTGTGTTTTACTTCTGTGTCACCATCTGCATCCCCCATTCTCTTTCTTTCTGTGCCTTGTTTGTATTTCTCTCATTCTTTCTTTGCAGCTGCCTCATCATTGCCTGTCTATCTCTCATCTTGGTGTCTGTCTCCATCCCTTTCTCTGCCTTACCCACTAGAAAGACACTTCTCTGAACTGCAGGTCCTTCCATCTTCAGCATCAGGCACTGTTAACACCCGACATGGGCCCTTGGTGAACACCTGCTGGCTGACATTGTGAATGACTGAAAGCCCTTTTCTCCCCACATGCCTCTAGGGGAGCTGTCTTCCATTTTCATTCTGACTCCATAACTCTCATGGTTTCATCCTGTTTCCCTCTGGAGTGTCTCTCCTTTTCTTTCTTTCTCTTTCTTTTTATTTATTTATTTGGAAATATTTTTTGCTATAGGACATGTGCACTCGCTGGAGAGACAGAGACAGAAAGTGAGAAATCACCCCACGAGGGGGATGGCCACACTGCAGTCCCTTCTCCTCCTGGGATCTTGGGCATGCATGCACATGCACCTGGCATTAGTTTGAAGCCACCGGGTCCAGGACTCGAGCCATAGCCGGCCACATGGGAGTCGAGCAACATAAGTGCTATGCCATCTGCTGATCACATCTTTTTTTTTTTTTTTTTTAATTTGCCAGAGGGTGCATGCACTCCCCAGAGAGACAGAGAAAGAGAGAAATTGGGAAAGCAAGAAAGCACTCCCCATGGGACATGATCCACAATGCCTTCTCCATTTCTTCCTCCTATCGAAATTTTGGGCATGCATACATGTGTGCTCAGGGTGTTTTTCAAGCCACAAGATCCAAGAATTGAAACACTATCAGCTGTTTTCACATCCATCTGCTGTAAGCACCACGCTGCCAGCTGGCCAAGTGTCTGGTTTTCATTCAGCCCCCCTCACCATCCATTTGCAGAAGGTAGTACTGTGCAGTGGTTGTTAATCTGGACCCTGAGCCCAGACTGCCTGGACTGAATGACTGGGCACCCAGTCAGCATATGTAGGATTCTTCCATTCATTCCATAAGCAAGGAGGGGATGCCAATACCACCAGGTGTTGTGATCTCGCTTTATGTTTGTGGAAACTTCAAAAAACTCAGGACAGAATGGCCTGCCTTGTCCTGTTTCTGTGCCTCCCTGGGTCTGTGACATTCATTAATAGGGCTATGCTGTGACTCTGTGACAGGGTTTGGCTGGGAGATGCCCAGAACACAGCAATGACACAGCGGCATGAGCCCTGCCCTCAGGATGCTCCTGGCTCAGAGCCAGACAGGGACTTGTCACCAAGTAGTCACAAGCCTACAAGCAGAGGAACAGGGCTGGGAAGGGGAGACACAGGCAGAAGGTTGAGGGCTGAAAAGAGGGAGCCCAGGGGCCTGTGACAGCTCTGTATGCCCAGCACAAGGTCAGGCCCTGACAGGCTTTCAATAAATGGACAAAGTGACCATGGTGAGTAAAAGTGCCACCACTCTTTCAGTTACTCAGGCCAGCAGATTTGTCTCCCTCGAGTCTTCTGTCTCTCTCACACTTCATAGAAGACCCATCGACAAATCCTACCATCTTTACCTCCAAAATCTATGCAGGATCCCCCAGGTCTCCTCTTCCTACTGTCCCAGCTCTGGTCCTATCCACCCATGTGCCCCTGGACTAGCTCTGTCAGCCCTGCCTTCCTGCTCCTGCCACCACCTCACACAGCCAGCAGGAGCCTGCCAACACCTGAGTCAGCTCCCATCTCCCCTCAGCTCAGAGCCCTCCCATGCCTCCACCCTCCATGGGCTAAAACCAAAGTCTTTGCTGTGGCCTATAGGGCCCTGCCTGACCCAGCCCCAACACCTCCTTGGTCTCACCTCCTCCCTCTTCACCTCATTCATTCTGCTTCAGCCACACTGCCCTCCTCCACATTCCTTAATTGCACACACTTGCCACACTCCTGCCTCAGGGCCTTTGCACCGGCTGTTTCTGCCACTCGATACTCTCTCCCCAGAGAATATGCACAGCTCCTTTCTCCTCCAGTACTTCCTCCAAATGTCACCTTCTCAGTGGGTCCTCCCTGACTATTGTATCTGAAGTCTCACTCATCACCACCATTCCCCCACTCCCCACTTTCTTCCCTCTTCACTTTCATGCCATATTTTGCTCAAATATATTAGTAACTCTATCTCCCCCACTAGGATGTCACTCCAAAGGTTAGGACTGGTAAGCTGAGAATGCAAAGGACAGGGAGACCTCAGGGTCTGGGGTTTGCCAGACAGACCTCAGGTCTGGGGTGGAGAGGACTTCAGAATTGGAACAGGGAAATGGGGAGGATTTGGGGCCAGGAAGGGTAGAAGAATCAAGGACAGGGTAAAAGAGGCCTCAGGGCCAGGAGATGGAACAAAGGAGACCTCAGGATTGGAAGTGCAGCCAGGGCTGGGGGACATGCTGCCCCAGGCAACCCACTCACCTTGACCCTGAAGGGGCAGCGGGTCTGGTCAACCAGCATGATATTCTCAGGCTTGAGATCGGCATGGATAATTGCCAGCTCCTTGAGCCGGGCCAGGGCTCTGAGCACCTGCAGAGTGACCGTGCGGATGTGGCGGGCAGGGAGGGGTGCAAAGTTGTTCTCCTTCTGGAACTCGAAGAGGTTTTGCTCCAGCAGCTCAAAGACCAGGTAGAACTTGAGGGCATCGTGGAAAAACTCGAGGAAGCGGATGACGTGGGCCTCGTCTGGGTCCAGGCCCCTCATGCAGCGCAGCAGCTTCAGCTCATTCTTGATGATGCGGTTGCGGTAGGCATCATTCTTGAGGATTTTAATGGCCACCATCTCACCGGTGCTTCGTCGCCAGCCCTTGGCCACCTCCCCAAAGGTGCCCTTGCCCAGCACCTCAATGATGTCGTAACAGTCGGTCTCTGACTGGATGGTGGCCATGGTGCTCCTGCTGCCACACACTCCCCTGCCAAGACCCCTGCACCGCAAGCTCTGCCACCGAGGTCTCCTGCCCCGCCGCCGGCCCCGCGGCCCCCCCAGTGGGGGAAAGAGAACTGTACTCGTGCTCTTCTTACAAGATGGCCCCACCTCTCTGGCACTCCCCAGCCTCGTTGGCCACACAGTGAGTCTGCCAGGGGCTGCACCCCTCCCCCAAAGCCCACCTGGCTTGGGACAAGGGCCCCAGGCCCCCCTAAATGGGTTCTAGCGTCACTGAGTGGCTCTGGTTCTGTTGTTAGAGACCTGAGCCCCTAGCTGGAATGGGGGGTGGGGTGCTGGGCCCGGCCCCTCCCCCCACCCAGTGGTGGAACCCTGAAGAGACCAGACAGGTGAAGGGTCAACTGGGAGGGAAGACTGATCCTGGACCGGGAGTGCACAAGAATGGAGACATAATACAGATAGAGGTGAGGACCAGCAGACATCAAGCTACAGGGATGTGTGTGTATGTGTCTGTGTTCAGAAAACACTTTCTTGGGGCCAGCAGATGGCCTAGCAGTTATATCACTGGACTCCCTCATAGCCAACTACAGTTTGAGTCCTGGACCCTTCCCTCTCACTCTCTCTCTTTCTCTCTCTCTCTCTCTCTCTCTCTCTCTCTCGGTGCATACACCCTAAGGCAAAAACCTCTACAAAAAAATAAATAAATAAAATAAAAGGAAAAAGAAAACACCTTCTCTGACTGGTGGCTGACACTGGAGAAGTTGAGAAGGGCCTTGAATGCCAGGCTAAGAAACTTAGATTTGGTGAACTAGCTGGTGGCAAGGTGATTAAGGTATTGGACTCCTACATGACTGCCCACAGTTTGAGTCCTGGACCTGGTGGTTTGCTTTCTTGCTTTCCCTCTGTATCTCTCTGGTAATTAAAATAAATAAAGTAAGAAAATAAAGATAACAAACAAAATTAAATAATTCTTTCAAAAAGAAAAAAAAAGAAAGAAATTTGGACTTTGTTCTGTGCACACTGGGGATCCAGTGTAGAAGGACTTTCAGCAAGGAAGGCCAGGGTCCGATTTGAGTGTAATAATAGATGTGGATGAAGAAGGGTGGTCTGGAGTGGGCAGAGTAAAGGCCCTAAGCCTGGAAAGGAGGCTAAAGCAGAGCTCAGGTGGAAGATGGAGAGAGAAGAAGGAGGGTGGAGGAGACTACCAGGTCAGGAGGACAGGCAAGGGGAAAGGAGGGAGCTGTCCCAGACAAGGTCCATGGCTCTGGCCTGGATAATGAAGGGGTGAGCCCTAAGTAAGGGACATGGACCAGGAGCAGTTTGGGGAGAGATACTGAAGTCAGATCAGAAAATTTAACATCAGAGATCAGCAGATAGTGTATTGGTTACACAGGACTCCCACATAGTCGACTGTGGTTCAAGTTGCGGACCTGATGGCTTAAAACTCACGCTGGGTGCATGTACGTGTGTACCCAAAGTCCTGAGAGGATACTGGAGGAGAAGGGGTTGTGGCATGGTCATCCCCCCTGAGGGGTGATTTCTCCCTGTCTCTGCCTCTCCAGCAAGTGCACATGCCCCACAGCAAAAATATCTCTCAAAAAAAAAGAAAATTTGGGACCAACAGTTGGTATAATGGCCATGTCACTGAACTCTCATGTAGTTGATCACAGTTCGAGTCTCGGACCCGGTAGCTTAAACTCACGCCAGGCACATGTGCATGCATGTCCAAGATCCAAGAGGAGAATGGAGGAGAAGGGATTGCGGTGTGACCATGTCCCCTGGGGGTGATTTTTCAATTTTTCACTCTCTCTCTCTCTCTCTCTCTCTCTCGCACCCTATAGCAAAAAAAAAAAAAAAGCTCCAACAAAAAAATTAACATCGACACATTTAAATATGTATGAACTGCTTTGAAAGTCTTATCTGCCCTTATGTCAGAAGAAGGATGAATTTCATGGAGGAGAAAATCAAGGCAAAAAAGTTTTTTTCTTTTTTTTTCTAATTTGCTATAGGGCACGTATGCTCGCTGGAGAGAGAAAGTAAGAAAGCACTCCCCAGGGGAATGCCTAAAATCTCAACATTTTAGGCACACATGCACACACACTCAGCATGTTTTTCAAGCTACTGTGTCCAGGACTCAAATCACAGCATCTGCCATCTGGGATCCACCTGCTTTAACTAGCATGCACTAGCTGGCCCACAAAGAAGTGTTTTGTTTAGTTTTTTTGCTATAAGGCATGCGCACTGGTCAGAGAGAGAGCGGGAAAGTGAGAAATTACCCCCCGGGGGAATGCCCACACCACAATTTCTTCTCCTCCATTCTCCTCTCAGGACTTTTTGTCCAGAATGTTTTTTAAGCTGCAGGGTCTAGAATTTAAACCACACCATCAGCCATGTGGATCTAACCACCACATTAGCCAACCACCAGCTGGCTGACAAAGGAGTTGTTTTTGGTTTTGTTTGCTATAGGACACATGTGCTCACCGGAAAGAAAGAGAGATAGAGGAAAAGTGAGAAATCATCTCCCATGAGGGTGGCTACACAGTCCCTTCTCCTCCATCCTCCTCTCAGGCTTTTGGGAATATACGTGAACACGACTGGCATGTTTTTCAGGCCACTGGATCCGGGACTCAACCATGCAGTCATGTGAGAGCCAGAGCCTTAATCACCATACCATCAGCTGACCCCAAAGAAGTTTTTTGTTTGTTTAGGTTTTTTGTTTGTTTGTTTGTTTGTTTTGGAGAGGTTTTCACTATAGGGCGCGTGCACTCGCCAGAAAGACAGAGAGATAGAAAGCGAGAAATCACCCTCCAGGGGGGATGGCCACGCTGCAATCCCTTCTCCTCCATTCACTTCTTGGGATCTTGGGCACACACGCACGTGCTCCTGGCTTGAATTTAAGCCACTGGATCCGGGACTTGAACCACAGTTGACTACGTGGGAGTCCAGTGACATAGCCATTACGCTAACTGCTGGTCCCTGTTTGTTTAGGTTTTTGCCATAAGGTACGTGGGCTCACTAGAGAGACAGACAGAGACAGTGAGAAATCACCCCCCAGGGGGCATGGCCACATCACAGTCCCTTCTCTTCCATTCTCCTCTTGGGATTTTGGGCATGCGCGCAGCCGTGTCTGGTGTGATTTTCAAGCCACTGGATCTGGGACTCGAACCACAGTCGGCTACATGGGAGTCTAGAGCCTTAACCATCATACCACCTGCTATCCATCCCCCAACCAAAGAAGTTTTGGTTTTTTTAAGAATTATTTAATATTATCTTTTTTTTTTTTTAATTTTCTAAAGGGCATGTGCACTCATCAGAGAGAGACAGACAGAGAAAGAAAGCCTCTAGGTCCAGGCCTTGAACTGCAGCAGGCCATGTGGGAGTCCAGCGTCTTAACCAGCACACCACATCCTGGTCCCCAAAGAAGTTTTTAAATGCCTAGGATCACTAGGTACCAGAAACAGGCTTGGACCCTGAGCAGCCTAGCTCTTAAGCCAAACTCTGAACCACCACCCCCAACCTCCTAGTGCCTAGAGACATCCAGGAGGTGGGGCAGAGGCCACTGGATCCCCAGGTGGATACAGAAGAGAGTTTGGGAGTTGTCAGCATTTAGGTGAGGTGTGGAAGCCACAGAGGACACAGCCTAGGGTGTTTGTGGAGAGTACAAGGGCCTGGGAGGAGCCCTTAGGGCCCAAGAAGTATCAGGAGAGAGAGGAGCAAGTGTCAGGAAGAACAAAGAGTCTCTAAAGCCTGGACTAGGGAGATGGAAGGTGAGAGGAAAACCCCTAATGCTGAGGGGATGGGCAGGGGGTAGATAATCCCATCACGTCTGGTGGAGAGGAAGAAAAGTGTGTGACAGGGCAGTGATCCCAGGCCAGAGCAGATTCAAAAGAAGTGGAGGGTCTGTGCCCCTCGTCCTTTGTCCTCTGAGATGGGAGGGAAAGATAGGAAGAGTGGAGGGCAGGTGTGGGGTTGTTGAGGGGAGACTGGGAGTGGACAGCATGTCTTCTTAGTCCAGTGTGAGACGTCACAGAGAGACACGTGGGAGTCTGGAGACCCTGGTTGGGTGTTAGTGGCTGAGATCCTAAGTGGGGATGAGGTAGGGGGGTAGACCGCCCAGCACTGAGAGGTGCTGAGGAACCTGGGAACTAGTCCTGAAGAGGGGGAACCTTTCTAGGTGGAGTGGGGTGGGGTGGGGTAGACAGAGCAGTCAAACCAGCCTGACAGGAAAGAGAAGTCCAGGATGTAGAGAGATGCCCCTCCCAACAGAGGGCAGGAGGGAAGTAGAACAGGCAGACTCTCTGGCAAAGGGGTCCCAGAGCTGTGTTCTGCTGGAACTTCCTCTTCAAGGGAGTCCTCCTCAAAGGCCCCTGTGAATTCAGAAGGGTTGGGCAAGGCCTCCTCCCACTGGAGCCTACCTCTCAGCCTCCCTGACTCTTCTCAGACCAAAGTATGGCCTGTTTGTCCCCATTTCACATCAGAAACCTCCTCAGAGTGGGCTCAAGCACCCCCTAAAACTTCCTCTGTGGGGGATCCTTTCTCTACACTCCCAACTCCTCCCTGCCCTTCCCCCTCCAAATAAACACACACACACACACACACACACACACACACACACACACACAGGAGACCAAACACATGGCTACCTCTGGATTATTTTATTCACATGGCTTGACATCATACAGGCACTCCCCCCAATGAGACAGACACAGGCACCCTGCCCTGGTGGGTCCCCCACCTCCAGACCCTCTTGGGATTAGTGCTAGTTATCTCACACACAAAACAGGGGTGGGGAGAGTTGCTGGGAAGACAGAAGGGGAGTCTCCATCTTCCTGGAGCTTCAAACAGCAGCAGCCTGAGCCCCCTCCATCCTAGTGGGGCCTGGAGCCCCTGTCTCGGAGAATCCTACACTGGGCAGCCGGACCCTGAATCCACCCTCTTCCTGGTCCCCACTCCTGCTCCGGGCCTTAGGGCTCAGGGACACCCTGGGGAAGCGAAACTTGGGTGACTTCTCCCCGACAGGGGACTTGGGGGCTGCCTCGCCCTCCTGTCCCTTAGAGACCTTGGAAGAGGTGGCCAGACCTACACGGGGTAAGCGGACCCGACCACGGCCCCGGCGTCCTGAGGCCCCGTCTCCACCTCCCTCTTCCTCTTCCTCCTCGGGGCTCGGGGAACCTTCCCTAGTGACCGTGTCACTTTGGCTGAAGCCTACTCGGGGCAGCCTGAGTCTGGGGCTCTTGGCCTTCTCGCCCTCCTCTGCCCCCTCCTTGGCCCGCACCAGGCCAAACCGGGGCAGCCGCACCTTGAGCTTGTGTCCAGTATCCCCCTCACCCTCAGCCACCTGGTACTCCGCATGGCTGCCCACAGCAGGTGGGGAGAGCTCCACCTCTGGCAGCGAGAGGCGGAAGGAGCGCTCAGCCCCTGGGGGCTGGTCCTCGGCCCCTTCTCTCTCAGCCTCAGTTCCAGATCCCAATGTAGGCAACTTCACCCTCAGCCCACCCTCACTCTTGGCTGCCTCACCCACTTGTGCCTCCTGGCCCAACCCCACATCCAGCTCAAGCTGAGGCACCGTCACAGTGGGCATCTTGAAGATGCCCTCGCCCACCAACAGCTCACCACCTGCCACCTGGGCTCCAGGCAGAGACAGGGCCACCTGAGGCACCTGGACCCTGTAGCCTGCTGTGCCCTCTGCTGAAGGGGCCGTACTCTCCGCCTGCTGCCCCAGGGTGCCTACCTCACCAAAGCCACTCAGCTCCACCTGAGGCAGGGAGATGCCCAATGGAGGCATCCTCAGTCCCCCATCGTGGGCCTCAGAGACCACCTGCCTGGTCATGGACACCTGCAGGCCTGACAGCCGCACCGTGCTGGTGGCCACTGCCCCTTCTGCTCCCGCTTCCTCTTGGGCTCCCAGTGTGACCAGCTCCACCTCAGGGAGCTTGAGCTGCCCAGCTATGGACTCGGGCTTGTCCCCAGGGCTGATGCGCCCACCCTGGACTTCTGCTTCTTTCCCTCGAGCCAGCCCAAAGGAGGGCATCTTCAGCTTGGGCATCTTCACCTTCCCATCCCAGCCCCAGCCCTTACCTTCCAACTCAGCCACCCCTGGCCCCAGTTCTCCTGCCTCAGTGTCCCGGCCTCTGACCCCAAACTTGGGCAGAGCAAACCTGGGCCCCTTAAACTTGACATCGGCCCCAGCCACCTCCACCTTGCCTGTGGGTAGATGGGCATCCAGGCTGAGCTGTGGGATGGACAGGTCTAGGGCAGGCAGCAGGCCTGCCTCGCCCGCCCCTTTGGCCTCAGCCTCAGTCCCCACTCGAGCCTTGGGAAGTGAGATGGCGAACTTGGAAACTTTCAGTTTGGGGGCTCGCCCAACCCCCTCAGCCTCTGACTTGATCACTTTTGGCCCCACAAGTCCAAATTTAGGCAGGGAGAACTTGGAGGAGGGCTTGACTTTCATCTCCATCATCTCCAGCTGCCCCTCCTCAGCTCCCACTGTGGGCAGCTGTGGAGTGACAATCTCCACAGAGGGCACTCGAAAACCCACCTCTCCAATCCCTACTGTCACCCCAGAGCCCTCTGCCTGCTGCAGCTTACCCACTTCAACAGGTTGGACCTGTCCTTCCAGGCCGAGGGCCCCTGGCAGGTCTAGCTCTACTGAGGGCAAAGTGAGAGAGGGGACACCCCCACGAGCCTCGCCACCCACCTCCGGCTGCAGACAGGGAAGTGCCAACAGCTTCCCTGAGACTTCAGCACCTGCCTCTCCTGGCTTGCCTTGTGACGGGGGCCCTGCCCTCCCTAGCTTGGGCATTGTCATCTTAGGCATCTTGAAACCAAACTCCACCCCCTCCACCTGCTCCACCCCAACAGCTTTCAGCTGCACCTCCGGTGCCTTTGGAAGATGCACTTCTGGGACCTTCGGCACTTGCATTTCCGGCAGTCGAATCTCTGACACCTTTGGCAGCTGCACCTCTGGAAGCTGCACATCAGGCACAGCCATCTCCGGCACCTTGGGGAGTTTTATCTCCGGGAGCTTCATCTCAGGGAGTTTCATGTCAGGGACTTTCATCTCTGAGACTTTTGGAAGCTGGACCTCCGGGAGACGCACCTCAGGCACGGCCATCTCTGGCACCTTGGGGAGTTTCATCTCTGAGACTTTTGGCAGCTGCACCTCTGGCAGTCGAACCTCTGGCACAGCCATCTCGGGCATCTTGGGGAGTTTCATCTCTGAGACTTTGGGGAGATGCACTTCTGGGAGGTGCACCTCTGGCACAGCCATCTCGGGCATCTTGGGGAGTTTCATCTCTGAGACTTTGGGGAGCTGCACTTCTGGGAGGTGCACATCAGGTACAGCCATCTCAGGCACCTTCGGGAGTTTGACTTCAGGAAGTTTCATGTCGGGCACCTTTGGGAGCTTCACCTCGGGGAGCTTCATCTCGGGGAGCTTCATCTCGGGGACTTTCACCTCCGGGACTTTCGGCAGCTGCACCTCTGGAAGCCGCACCTCCGGCACAGCCATCTCTGGAACCTTTGGGAGTTTTATCTCTGACACTTTTGGGAGTTGAACCTCTGGGAGTTGCACATCAGGAAGGGCAGCCTCAGGCATTTTGGGGAGCTTGACATCAGGGGCCTTCGGGAGCTTCACTTCAGGCCCCTTGGGCACTTTGACCTCTGGTCCTGACACCCCAATGCCAAAGGAGGGCATCTTGATGGTAGGAAGCTTCAACTTGCTCTCAACTGCCTCAGGAGCAGCAGGCCTGGGCTCCAGGAGCGAAAGCCCAAAAGTGGGCATTCGAAGTCTGGGACCTTTTGCCCTGGCCTCGGGGCTGCCCTTGGCCACTTTGGCCTCTGCAGCTTCCTTTGCTCGAGCTCCAAAGCGGGGGAAACTGAGGCGGGGCATCTTTAGGGCGACCTCTGGCACCTCTCCCCGGGCCTCCACCTCAGTGCCTGGCAAGGCCAGGTCCACCCCCACAGCAGGCGCTACCACATCCAGGGTGGGCACAGTTACAGCCACAGCCCCTTCCTGAGTCTCCAGGCAGGGAAGTGTGGGCAGAGTGGGTAGTGAGGGTAAGGGGGGCAGCTCCACTTGGGGTACCTGGATCCCTACAGCTGGGGTCTCCACAACAGGTGCCACCGGAGCTCCTAGCCCAAGGGTTGGCAGGTGGAGGGCAAAGCCACTGGGTGCCTCTGCTGAGGGGACCACCTTGGCAGCTGAGACCTGGGGGATGCCCACCTCAGTACCTGGCATCCGGGGCCCAACCAGCTCCACCTGAGGGGCTGTGAAACGGGCTCCTGCTGCCACCTCAGCCTCCACCTTGGCCTTCCTGGGGGGAGGAGCAGCAGCAGCCAGCCGAGCTGCCTGGGCCTCTTTGGCCACCTCTCGTACACGCAGCCGAGGCAGCTGGAGGCGCCGACGGGCAGGGGCAGCTGGGACAGGACCCTTGACGGCCTCAGCTTTGAGGCCCCGGCGTAGACGAGAGAACTTGGGAAAGGAGAACTCGACGTCAACAGGGGCCAGGTCTGCAGGGACCCCTAGAGCCCCAGGCACCACCACCATCTTCTTCTTCTTCACAGGGGACAGACTCTGGATGTTCTGGGGAGAGAGGAGAGAGGCAGGAGGCGGTGGGACAGTGGGAGGCCCGGAGTGGACAGAAAGAGCCCCACCTGGCATTGTAGCAGGCTGTGGATGTGCTGGGTCCAGTGCCTGGTCCCCAAAACACCATCCCCACTTTCTGCCTAACATTTCAGCATTACTGCCAGGGGAGGGCAAAGATGCTCACTTAGAATTTCACAGCAAGGCAACAAGAGTGTAGAAACTGGGACATCAGACTTCTAGATCCTCATCCAGGATTTCCCCCAACACCCTCAATCAACAGATTGGGAAACTGAGGCCCAGGGGGGAAAGAAACTTATCCAGGGTCAACAGCAGTAACTGAGCAGCACTCAGGCTGGAACCTGGCCTTCTTGGTTCCAAGTGCCCTGGTTCAGGACCCTCACAGCAAGCCTGGATCAAATGTTGGGGGTGCCTCTCTGAGGTTGATGAGGGCCCCAGTCTAGGGTGGATGGGTCCCCCACCCCAAGGAATAGCATACGGCAGAGAGCATGGGACCTAGGGTAAGATTAGCACTGGGTTAGTGACAAGACAGACGGCAAAGCTGGCCCATGGTGACGGGAAGTGGGGCTCACGGCGCATAGATGGGATCGCTGGGACAGTCCGGGGCTGGGGCCGGGCTAAGCACGCGTACCAGCTTGGCCACCTTGGCCCGCGGGCCCTTGATCTCGTAGCCAGCCACTGTTCCGGGCCGCAGTGCCAGGTCCCCGGTGGGCACAGTGCGCTTCAGGCAGAAGGAGACCTTGTAAGGCTCGGCACATTGCAGCAGGCGTAGTGCGTCTTCGTACTTGAAGTTCTCAAAGAACACGCGCGCGCTCAGCAGCTGGTCCCCTGCAGGTGAGGTGAAAGAGGCTAGGCATGGGCATCTCCCAGCTCCACCTGAGCCTGGTTCCACCCACCTCCTTGGAGCCAGCCTGACCAGACCATACTCCAAGTTTTGGCCCTGCCCTTCCCCAAGAGCAATATCGATAAGCAAAGTTCTACCCAGAACACTAAAGAGGGCAGACACTTAAGAATGAAGCTCCACTCCGTGATTTTAGCCCTGCCTCTCCCAGAATGCACAAATCCACGACAGCTCAGGCTATGTCTGCCGCCTTTCTCCCCACAAGCCAACTCACATTCCAGACATTGACTTCGCTTCCTTTACTAAGAGACCAGAATCAAAATGTAACTTCCACAAGCTCTCACACCATCTATTCGCCCCTCTGCTCCAGTGGCAATGTACTCCACCATCACTTTTTTTTTTTATTATTTAAGAATTATTTTTTATTTAACTTTATTTACTTATTCATCCATTCTAATTTGACCAGAGAGATACAGAGAAAGAGAGGGAAAGTAAGAAAGCAAGCCACCAGGTCTGGGACTCAAACCATGGTCGGCCACGTGGGAGTCCAGTGCCCTTACCACCACGCCACCTGCCAGTCCCTCCACCATCCCTTCTGTTCCTAGGGGTGAACGGTCCTTAACCAAGCTCAAGTCCAACCCTTCACCACCTTCTTAGGGACATCATCCAGCAATTCTGCACCCACATATCAATTTGTCCCTCCCTTCTACATTATTCTCATCAGCGTACAAACATATGCTTAGTTCTCTTATAAAAAAACATCTTGACCTGATTACCCTTAAGCTCCTGCCCCATTATATCATTTCATCTTGATGGCAAATGCAATGAGTTATCTAGCTTCTGTTTTTCTAGTGACAATTCTTCTCTCGCCCCCTCCCAGACACACATACACACATTTGAACTACTCCTTCTGATCCTGGGTAGTGTACCCCCTCACATAGCGAAGTCCAATGGTCAAGTGAACCCTCGGGTTGCTTGGACCAACCACTCAGCATCTGACCCAACTTCACTCTCACTCCTTCATCCACTCACTTCTCTTGGCTTCCAGGGTGCCCACCTCTGGAATACCTCTGTCTCTGGAAATTCCTTCTCAGCCTCTCTGGATAGTTAGTTCCTTCCCATCTCTGTGACCTTCTTTTTTATTTTTAGAAAGAGAGATTTTTGTTATAGGATTGTAGGGTACGTGCATTCACTGGAGATACAGAGAAAGCAAGAAATCACCCTCCAGGGGAGATGGTCACATGACAATCTCTCCTCAATTCTCCTCTCAGGATTTTGGGCATGCACACTCATGCACCAGTGTGAGTTTTAAGCTGCTGGGTCCTGGACTCCAACCACAGTCAACTATGCAACGTAACCATTATGCCATCTGCTGGTCCCTCCCTCTGACCTTTAAAAAACACACTGCTCCCAGCCTCAGGCCTCGGACCTCTTTTCTCCATCCATGTGCTGTGATCACCCTTTAGGGATTGTTGGGAAGCTCACTGATACTCAGGAATTTAAAGATCATAAATCTAGGAATCAGCATATAGTGTAATGGCTACATCACTGGACTCCCATGTAGTTGACCACAGTTCGAGTCCTGGACCCGGTGGCTTAAACTCACACTGGGCACGTATGCATGCATGCTCAAGATCCATGGAGGAGAAAAGATTATAGTGTGGCCATCCCCCTGGGGGGTGATTTCTCGCTTTCTGTCTCTCTGTCTCTTTCTGGTGAGCGTGCATGCCTAACAAAAACCGCTCAATAAAAAAAAAAAGATCATAAATCTGTTGACAACTCCCAAGTGCATTTCTGCAGCTCAGCACTCTCCCCTCCAGTCTAGACTCATACATCCAACTGCCTCTCCACATCTCCCCCTGGGTATCTAACAGATACTTTTCATTTAAGAAATCCAAACTCCATGGGCCAACAGGTGGCATGGTGGTTAAGGCAGTGGACACTCCACATGGCTGATTTCCAAAACTGGTGTCTTGCTTTCTCACTTTCCCTCTCTGTCTGTCTCTCTCGAGTGACTGCAAATAATAATAATAATCATAAATAAAATTAAGGGACCAGCAGATGGAGATGGTGTAATGGTTACATCTCTGGACTCCCATATGGCTGACTATGATTCGAGTTCCAGATCCATAGACTTGAAACTCACACCAGGCATGTGTGTGTGTGTGTGTGTGTGTGTGTGCCCAAAATCCCAAGAGAAGAATGGCAGAAAAGGGACTACAGTGTGGTCATCCCCCCGGGGGGTGATTTCTCACTTTCTATCTTTGTGTCTCTGTCTCTCTGGTGAGCACACGTGCCCTGTAGCAAAAATCTCTCTAAAAGAAATAAATTAATTAAATCAAATAAATAATTGCTTTTTCTTTTAAAAAAAGAGAGAAATCCAAAATTCATTTGGTCAGGACCAGCAGTTAGCGTAATGGCTATGTTGCTGGACTCCTATGTAGTCAACCGTGGTTCAAGTCCCAGACCCGGTGGCTTAAACTCACACCAGGTGCGTGAGCGTGCATACCCAAGATCCCGAGAGGAGAATGAAGGAGAAGGGATTGTGGCATGACCATCCCCCCTTGGGGGGTGATTTCTTGCTTTCTGTCTCTCTTTCAGCAAAAATCTCTCTTAAAAAAAAAAATGAAGCTTTCAGGGGTTGGCCTCATAGCCTGGTGGTTAAGGAAGCCAGATTCCACATGGCCAGCTCTATGGTGTGAGTCCCAGACCCAGCGGGTTGAGATACACACCAAGGTAGGTTGTATGCATTGCCCCAAATCTCAACAGGATGAAGAAATGGAAGAGATGGGATTGTGGTGTGACCACATTCCACTGGGGGAGAGGGAGCACGATTTTCCCTCTCCCTTTTTCTCTCTCTCTGGCAAGCACATGGCAATTTATTTTTTATTTAATTTATTTTTTGCCATAGGACACATGTGCTTGCCAAAGACAGAGAGAGGATGAGAGGGAAAGTGAGAAATCACTCCCCCAGGAGGGATAGCCACACTGCAATCTCTTGTCCTCCATTGTCCTCCTGGAATTTGGGCACACACACAAGTGCCCGGAGTGACACTTAAACTGTGGTCAGCCATGTGGGAGTCAAACACCTTAACCACAACACCATCTGCTGGTCCCACCAATTTTTTTAAATGCAGCTTTCATAGAAGGTGTTTGCTCGTTGCATGAATATATCACATCAGCTTCATCCATGTTTCCTAAAATATATCTCATTTAAAAGCTTTTCTCCCCACCTCCTCCAAGTTGTTGAGTCCAACCCTTTTCTCCTGCCCAACAACAAAAACGTTAGCACTTACATATGCTTAGCATGTGCCATTTAGCTATATCATATTACCAAATACTGACTCACTCAACATACACCATAATCCCATGAGGTCAGTACTAAAATTATTCCCATTCTAGAGATGAGAAGACTGAGAGGAAGCAAGATCACGAGCTAATAAATGGGGGATATATGGGACTCAAACCCACACAATTGCCCTCCAGAGCAGGCTCTGAACAATGCAAGTCTGTACAAAGCTTCTCCCCAGGCTCTTAATCCTGCCTCCTGGTCGCCGCCCACACTCACATCCTTACCCTGGACCCGCCCCCGCAGGGCGACCCCGCCCACCTTCCTGGAGGCTGAGGCTCCTGGCGGCGGGTGAATCTTCGCGCAGTTCTCGGACGAAGATCCCTTCCTTGCCGCCGCCCGCCACATTGATGCCGCTGACCCCAGTCTGTGCCTCGGTCTCCACGATGATCTCCACCAACTCCGCCCGCCTCAGCTCCTGCGGAGGGCAGCGAAGGGTCGCCAGTGGTCGCTAGAACTGGACCTCACCTGGAGCCCACCATTGAGCTCTTAAACGGGTCCACTTTCCCCTCTGCGAATCCCAAGCAGGTCCTCGGAACCCACCCATTCTGTCATCTCTCCTTTAAGCAAGCACGCGGAGCGGACCTGAGGATCGGTTCAACAGCTGGACAGGCAGGCTGACCTCTCTGAGCCCCTGGGGAGCCTGAGAAAGGCGCGGGGAGCGGGGTTGTAACCGGAGGGAAGAGGTGGGCAGAACTAGAGCGGCGGGAATAGGGGTTTGCAGCTGGGTCTGAGAGGAGGTGCCAAATGCGGTACAGAAGAGTGCAAAAGCGGCTAGTTGTGATATGGTTAAGGTAGCTGGATCCCGCATGGCCCACAGTTCGAGTCCGGAACCAGGCGGCTTGAAAAATATGTCAGATGTGAAGCCAGCAGATGGTGTGGAGGTTAAGGCCCTGAGTCCGCCCTCTGCGGGCCTGAAAATCAGGCAGCGTGCCTGTGCCTGTGTGTGTGTGTGTGTGTGTGTGTGTGTGTGTGTGTGCGCGCGCACGCGCCCTCCCCACCACCGTCCAAAATCCCAAGAGGAAACTGGAGAAGGGATTGGGGTTTGACCATCCGGCCCTGGGGAGGTGACTTCTCACGTCTCCCCTCTCTGTCTCTGGCGAACACACGCCAGTTCTAGTGCCAAAAAGAAAGAGGGAAGAAGAAAGAAAAAGGAAGGAAGGAAAGGAGGAAGAGAAAGAAAGAAAAGAAAGAAAGGAAGGGAGGGAGGAAAAAACATGACAGATGTGTCCTTGCCCTAAATTCCAAAAGGATGGAGAAATGGACAAGAAGGGATTGTGGCATGACCATGCCCTATGAAGAGTGCTTTCCTGATTTCCCTTTCTTTCTCTCTTTAGTGAATGCCTGCCCTCTGGCAAGTTAAAAAAAAAAATGGGTGGTGGGGAGATATGAGAAGGGTGTGCGCAGCTAAGACCTAGACGCATACTCTGAGTGCAAGACTGAGCTGTGGGGAAGAACTTTCCTAACAGCAGAACTGAGGGGTAAGGTCGAGAGTGGGATTCTGAGGGGACTATGGGGAGTGGGATTTGCCCACTGAAGGCCCCAATGTGTGTAGACTGTGTCCCATTGTGGATTCTGACCCCCAAGACCTGCATAACGCCCACAGGAGAGTGGGGGAGGGGTGCGGGTAATGAATCGTGGGCCGTAGACATGGCATTCTTGGTATTTACTGTCATTGGTGCAGGCTGTCATCTTGCAGTCACCACTGTAAGATTCACATCCCAGCTTTCCAGAAAAGACAGTGAGAGATCTGGGTCGCATGTAGGAATCCAGTCTGCTGTGTGCCTAGAGGATAGTTTAACCACTCTGTAAAGGATATACTGGAAGGAGTCTCTGGTGAGCAGAGACCTGAAGCCACAGGGGATCCACTGGCACACAGAGGCCAGGACATGCTGAAATCGAGCCCAGAGCTTTGAAAGGGCAAAGCAGACCTGATACCCCACAGCAGGCCCCAAGGGACTAGGGGACTGGGCAGGGCAATGTAGGAAGGCATAAGAATTGTGCAGGGGATGGTAAGACCATCACTTGCTACCTCTGGCTTAACATGCCCTGAGTGAGGAATTTTATCTGCCTCTTCTTCTTCTTCTTTTTTTGAATTAATTATTTATTTATTTATTCATCCATTTATTTTAATTTTTTCCATTTATTTTAATTTGATCAAAGAGAGAGAAACAGAGAGAAAGAGGAACAGTGAGAAACCAAGCCACCAGGTCTAGGACTCAAACCGTGGTCGGTCATGTGGGAGTGTCCAGTCTTCACCACGCCACCTGCTGGTCCCCTGTGCCTCTTATTTCATCCTCCCCACAGCTTTAGGCAGTCACAGAAGAGGACCCTAATAATGCTTAGAGAGGTAAAGTGACTTGCCTAATGCCACATGCAAATTAAGCACCTGGGTCTCAACTTTAGGTTTATGATCTGAGAACCCATAGGCCCTCCTGTGGGCAGTGACGCGGGAATAGGGGTTTGCAGCTGGGTCTGAGAGGAGGTGCCAAATGCGGTACAGAAGAGCGCAAAAGCGGCTAGTTGTGGTATGGGTAAGGGAGGCGGGTCC